AATTACTGTAAAAAAATAATAATCACTTAATATCATTAAAAAGAAAAAAAAATTGAAACTAATTGGATAAATTATAATTAAAGACCTTGACAAAAAATTGGAAAATTAAAATGGATAGTTTTGTCAATAAAATAAAAAAATTTCAATATGCTAGTGGTTTGGTATAAAAAGTTATCTAAAATATAGTTTATTCAATTTATTAGTGATTTGAACCTTAACTATTATATGTTAGTCCCAAACTGTTAAATAAAAAAATTTACCAAATACATTATTTGTAGTGGTTTTGAAATAAATAAATTTATCAAACGTCTATTTTATAATGGTTTGAATAAAGCTGCTAACCAAGATTGCCAATACCGTACTAGCATACATACTGGTTTTGTTTCTAGAATGGCATAAAGCGGATGTCAAAGTTTTTTGTGTATCATTTTGAATTTACTATTATAAATATATATTTTTATATAAATTAAATATATAACTTTAGAATGATATTTAATGAGTATGAGAAAAATTAATACATAAAAAAATAATGTTTTAGAAATTAAAAACATATTCAAAATGGTGAAATTCATGAAATGTTTTTAGTATTTTTTTTAGACAATAAGGGTAATATTAAAGAAATTATTATGTCAACATATTTTACATTTATTTACAAAGTTTCATGTATTCATTTGAGTCTAAACCCAACTAAAAAAATTAAATAGTTATTTAGATTTTTAATATATGCTTTTAATCTTATATTCAGGTTAACGAAAATGGACCCTTCCCCTTTAATTTTTTAATATCTAAATAGAGAATTTTTTCTCCTTTCCTCCCTTCCTCTCCATTCCCCTTAATTTAAACATATAATAAGTCTAAATCCAATTATATAATAAGTTGTCACATTCTGTAAAAGAAAATAATTAATTTGAGATCCAAATCATGATTTATGTATGTATATTGAAAAATAGAGATATTATATTGATAATTGTGTTTTTTTGAGACATTTTCAAAACTTTAGTAAGTGGTACTTTGTTTTTTTATTGTTTTTTTTTTAAATTCAAATATAAAAAAAAATCACATTAATAAGATTTTGGTGCATCAACCAATATGCATATAATTGGTACGTCAAAATTTGGCTGAAATATCGAATATTTGATTGAGATGGAATCTAATCTTATGCTGATTTTGATTAAGCCAAAAACTAGTACACATCAACTGTATCTACAAAGTGGATTTGATAACCTCACCACTAGTCAAAACTTCCAAACCACTATATATACCAAGGGGGCCTAAAATAGGACATGAATGGGTTGAGCTTTACTATTAAAGTGGCCCTTGACCATGGCTCGTGTTTAGCGGCAATAAAACCACGTCATCTATGGATGGGTATCAAATCACATTTGAGCATTAAAAAAACTACCATTGGCACCACTTGGGTGCGTTCTCTTTGTCCTCCATGGATAGGTAGCTAGCTTTTTCGACTACTACTACAACATGGAGAAAAACTAGGCCTGTGACTTCTAGCCCGAAACCGATGGTTAGCCCAAAATCCACTTGAAACTGAAACTGTCGGGTTGGGTAAAAAAACCATTCAGTGAGCGGGCTTCGATTGTAACCGAAGCCCAAGCGGCCAGTTATCAATTTTTGAGCTTAGAAACCAATAACCGCAATGGTAGGCCCAATTTTATCTAAAAAAATTGATTTTTTAAATTAATTTTTTCAACTACACTATATCCACTATTTTTTCATGTAGCGTCGTAAATCCTGCCAATTGAATGATTGATTGATGATTTTTTTCTTTCTACAACAAATTTCACCAATTGACAATTATATTTTATTGTCTCGCTTTTCATTAACATTAATTTAATAAAAAATGTCGTAAAGT